ACGCGCGCTAAATTTGCTTATCAGCTCGCGCACATCAGCTATACAGGCATTAATACTGAATGTTTAACATTATATTCATTGCATACATATACTTCGTATACAACCTTAATCTCTAATAACTCCATTCTGCTGTCTGTTGTTTTGTTGTCAGTGTTTCTTTGTCTGAATATGGCACTTATCACATGCTGTGTGGTATCGGCGTTTGGTATCGGGGCATTTTAACGAGTACGAGTACAAGAGCTCAGTATCGGGCCCATCGGTATCGGTGCATCCCTAGAAAAAAATATTAAAACATATTAACATGTAACTACAACGTTTATTTAAATATAATAGCATATAAAATATATTTAAGAAATTCAAATAAAAATCTTTTATTTTTATTGCAATTTGTGTTTGTAAGTGGAAGTATCAGTTTCATCAGATACCTGCAATTAGATCTAATAATCAAGAACGGATGATTATGAAATAATTTTGACAAGCCTGTTTCCATCATAACCATATTACTGAATGACATCCCAGCTCCATAAAAACACAGCAGCATTCACGTATCTCATAACAAATGGGTCCTTACTCCACCTCCAGCTTAGCAGGCTTCATTTTCAATGATGGGATCTAATTGTTTATGACGTCTCCCTGTGGAGATAAAGAGGCAGAGAGCTGTGGAAGATCCGGAGTCGAGCATGTGTTGCTGGATTTGACTCGAGCACTATTTGAGAAAGATTAGCCTGAAGAATCAACAGACAATCCCCAATGCCTGAGGGAGCACGTCTCAAACGCAAACAAATTTATGCTTCCTCTGGCAAATAAGTCTGTGAGTGACTTCTCTTCAAGGAATTACGTTCTGAAACTCACAAGACACCTCAGCTGACTAAGACAGGCTTGCAACCCAAAATAATACTGAGACCGGAACTGAGCATGAAATGTCATTCAGGAGGTTAGTGGACGAGGTAAGTCCTAATAGAATGGAATGGAAATCACAAGAAATGAACCAATTTTGGTTCTTGAATAAATTAAATTGATCAAAAGTGACAGTAAAAAGTAATATCTCAAATAAATGTTATTTTGAACGTCTATTCAAATATTACTGATAATAATAATAAATGTTCTTGAGCATTAAATCAGCATATTAGAATGATTTCTGAAGGATCATGCGACACTGAAGATTTGCTTTGCCATCACAGGAATAAATTGCATTTGAAATATATTTAAATAAGAAACAGTTAAGTAAAATTGTAATATTATTGTTATTTCACAAGGTTACTGTTTTTACTGTTTTTGATCAAATAAATGCAGCCTTGGTGAGCATAAGACACTTCTTACAAACATTCTCTTCAGAAACAAATCTTACAGACTCCAAACGTTTTAGACAGTAGTGTATACAAATAGTATGGCAGTGAGTAAGTTCATTCAAAACCCATTTCAACTAATTCAATGAGAGAGTAATCCGTTTTGGACCAGTGAGTTCATCTGTGACTCATTCGTGAGTGGTTTGATTCATTTAAAAGAACTGGCTCAGAAGAGTCATTCAACTGTAAGATCACAACCCAGCCAAAACAACTTCTTTGCCGTACAGTAAACACTGTCAGAGTAGTTCAGTATGGTCTTCTATAACAATAACACAAATAACCCAATTATGCAGTTCCTACAGACACTGTTCTAACCACCATCATGACTCATTATATAAAAACAGACAACTTGTTCTACTGGGATTGCAGTTTTGGCAGCAGCTTAGTCTAGTAACGGAGCGGTTCAAAGGTCACACCTCCCCACTGTGAACATATTTAATAAACTGCATTAATCATGCGCGCTGAATGAACGTGGATCACCGAGGTCTACTGAACCCTGATGAAATGAGAGCGTAATTGTTCTAGTGATGTGAAACGGACAGAACGGCCCGCTCTTTTCCGCAGAAGAGCAATGTTTTCCTGAAGTAATGGGATGGGCGAGGTTGGCATGGCGTGTGGTGTGGCGCCGGGGTGACTCACGGGCAATGAGCAGAGCATTCTGGGATGAATGAGCAGAACAGCGTGTGTGAAAAATCTGCAGTCTGCTTAAGCTGTGGCTGTAAACGAGGATATTCAAGAAGGCTTGAGCTATGCGCGTCTCTCAAGCCCGCTGAGTGTGCACTTACATGAGCCCCATGACATCCTGCCGCCAGTTAACCAAAGGAATCTGTTCATAAAGCATTTCTGTGCTTTCGTCGTACCACATGGCTGGAACTCGGGTTGGGGTTGATAGCGACCATTTGAAATATATCAAGATAATTCAAACTTGATTTGGGCAGAGAGCGAACAATGTTTAACCGAACTTCGAATTTAGTGCCAGACGTCCCTCAAAGACAAATACACAGCAAACCTCAGATACAGGCCAAAGCCTTGGAAAAATAACCCTCACATTTGGACAGAGATTATAGGATGACTGTGGTTAAGCCTACAGAACCTCTTTGTCATGCTGTTAATCCTAGAAAATACACATTTGCAGTCAAAGTAGCTTTTCTTTTGAGAAACTGGCCCACTCAAGCGCCTTCGGGCACTGTAATCCTGTGGCACTTCCCTCAAGAAACCAGTAGAGCTCCTTCAGTCAGGCTAATTGAGACAAATCAGCGGTCCCAGCTTGAGTGTTTCACCAGCTGAGCGCTAAATTCTCTATTTCCAATAAAAGGCGAATTGTTCGTTCCCCACAGTATCTTAAATCCTTGTGAGTTAAAGTAAGAGGACCAGCTAACGGCAAATGGTTTAAAAAAGTTTTAGCATCATGGGATTCTAAAGGACAAAAACCTTCTGTTATTCTCTATGGTCAAAATAAATCTGCTGGCACCTGACATCATAATTGGCTGGGGGGTTCCCTTTTTTTTTTTTTTTTTTTTAAGTATGACTAGGTTCAATGATAAAGCTCTGAGTATGTAGTAGAGCAATCAATGAATCAATAATTATGGATTTTGTCATAATCGTCCTACAGTTTTATTACCAATGATAAGTTTAACATTTGGAACTGCCAAGCTAAATAATGAAGGCAAGCACCAGCAGATTTATTTTACCAAAAAGACAGTTGTATTGCATTAAAAATTGTTTTATTAATGAAAAAAAAATAAAAATAAATATACATACATATAGAGCGGTGGCCAAAATTATTAGAACACTAGTATTTTGACCAGATAAAAAATGGTTTTAAGTCAGTTATTTATTTCTTTATATCCTGAAAGAAAACATATGTTGAAGCACTACAATTACTAAAGCTAAAAATAAATGAAAGCCAAATAATAAACAAAGTACATAATAACCGTAAAAAAACTACATTTTAAACTGAAAATCTAAAATAAAAAAGCTATTTTAAAGTGATAAAAACACTAACTGTTTTTACAATGCTGATTTTTAGAATTTACATTAAAGTACTTATTTACATCTGCATTATGTAGGCTACACAAAACAAGCTGAGAAAGTTGTTCCTAAATTAATTCATTGCCATTTTATCAGTAAATAAAAACTTCAACTTCACATATGTCCTTTTAGCAGCAGCAAAAACAATTTTTGTATAGATCTACACAAAAGCAGAATGTTCCCTTCCCATTATAACCAGCAAATCTGTTATTGCACGAATCTCTTATTTGCACTGTTGATGATAATAGGACTGTTCTAGTTGCAGCGTATATCAGGTACTACACTGCAAGCAAGTGCTGCAATATCAAGCAAATCTAATATTATTCCAAATTACCACAGATTACTTTTCACTTTGATTCTAAAGCTGCTTTTTGAGCATCAGGTGCACTCATTTTTGGACCACTGACAGAAAGCACACATCTGTGGATCAGACTGCTTCAAACTCGCTCTTTAGGAGCAGATGTTGTTACTGATAGACTTATAGACTATTTTGAGCACCTCCAATTCGCCATTGAATTCACGCACACATCGAACATGTCTGTGATTGGCTATGGTACTCATCAGCTGCAAAAATCAGAGGGTGTAGTGAGAATCAATTCAAGTGGTGAAAGAAAAACTGCCTTTAACGTCGTAAAGTTGTTGAATTGGAACTGACTGAAGATAAGGGGGTCACGATGGGCAGTCTGCCTACTTTAGTACTTAATTTAATGAACTTTGCTCGCATTGAAGGGTCAGCTTCATTGCCATGTTCACTCAAGGATGCCCTGAAAATCAATCATCCTAAAAATAATTCAAGATGTTAATGATTTGCCACAGTCTTTAAAGAGCTGGCACTGTAGTCCTCACCCACTTCCATTAAAAGGCTCTTTTTAAGAGGACATATGTCTCTGTTCATCAGCAAGAGACAAGAATGACCAACCTCATCCAAAAAAAGACCAACAGAACTCTATCATGCTGCAGTTTCAGTCTGTGTCAAGCTTTATGGTGCATTTTAAGTCTTCGCACACTGCAAATGTCAAGCCCATTTATGTTCACCATGTGTAAAAACACAAATCTCTTCTTTCAGTAGAGCAACCAAAATCTATCTATCCATCCATCCATCTATCTATCTATAATACAGCTGCACAAATCGAAACAATGATATACATGATACTAAATAATTATTAATAATAATAATAATTATTATTATTATTGTTGTTGATTATTATGATTATTATTATTATTATGCACAGGGCTGCACAATTTATGAAAGTACATTTAAAATCATGATATGCATGGTTTTGGAATTTTAGAACTGCTTTATTACTGTGATTATTATTATTATTAATGAATAATAATAGGAATAAGACTAAGACTAAGAATAAGAGGTTACACTTTATTTTAAGGTGCCTTTGTTAGAGTGTAATTTTATTGAGTAATATTAATAAACTACATGTACTCACTGTATGGTTAGGTTTAGGATTAGGGTTTGGCTTAGGGTTACTTGCATGTAATTATGTGTAATTTATTGTTATTATAATAGTAAGTACATGTGCAGACCTAAGGTCTTCTAACTTCTAAAAAGTTGTTTGAGGACCTTTTGTCAACCATATAGATCACATGTTGATTTGCCATCATACTCACGGTCAGATGTGTATTCTGCCTGTGTGGCTACTGCCGACGACTGATGCTCTTCCTCTGCTTTGGTTGCCATTGCTGCAGCGCCATAATTCTCCTGTCGAGCTTTTCGAACAAGCGCAGCCAACGGGTGATCTGGATCAATGACCTGCAGAGGCTATAACACACAAAAACATAAGGTCAACGGGGTGTGCAACATTTCCCTCAGCATATACAGTATATATATATATATATATATATCCCACCCAGAAAATGTGTGTAAAGCTGTTTAAACATAAAATAAATGTAAAAACACCATATGAATGGAATAAATCAGGTTTTAAATCTAGCTAGTGTTTTGTGAGGCCCCTTGGAAGCAATTCACTGTAGCACATTGGTTTGTAGTTTTCTCAGATGGCTCTGTGACAGCACCTTCCAGGCTTCTCACAGAGTTTGGCTGCACTTAGGTATTTTCCTTGTCCATGTGATCAGACACAGCTCCAATTGTGTATAAGGTAGCCACTAGCCAGTATAAAACTGTATAAGAATAAGACGTATGCCATATTGGGATGTCACTATGAACCAAAGATTTGAAGTCTGCACTCGTCTCTCCTCAGTACTTTCTGCCACTGGATGTCACTCCATGCTTTATAAACTTTTGCATGCTGTCATCACTTCTGCTTGTTGCCGTCCTGCATGAACGGTTTCTTTCCCTACCTTGTGAGACCACTTCTTTTTAGATGACGTGCTGAACACGCACTTTACTGGATTCCTTTCTGTCCCCTAAGGAGGTGACCTTTTAAGTACCGTTCACCAGATGCAGCTTTTTCTGTCTTGCAGTGCATTTTCGGTCTAGTCTCTACAAATGTCTACATGCTATTATGACACTATGCCTTCAAAATCCAATTTGCTGGCCTGTTGCTCACTGAATAACAAACTTATATTTTAAGATACAACATAGGGGTGAGGAAATAATGACAGAATTTTCATTTTTGGGTGACAAGCTTATTCACCACCAGAGGTGCAATATTACAAATATGAGCTCTTTAATATTCATCACATCAGCAGAAATCATTCCTCAAGGGCTCATATTTCAAGCTTATAAATTAATGAACTCTTTGGGCAAAAGGTTCTACCCTATGGGTATGAAATTGGCTTCATTCTTTACATTTCCATTCATACAGACTAAAGAAAATGTATGAGAAACGACAGAAGTATGCAAAAGAAAATGTCTATAGGAACAAGCCAGAAATCACTAAAAAAAAAGAGCAAATGTTTGTTGATCATGTTTTTTATGCTTTACAAAGCTAAACATCTGGATTTCTGTGATATATTGAACATTCACATTGCGATCTCTGATGATTTAAATATGTCAAGGAAGTCATTTAGCTGGCTTACATAAATGAGGTCTTGTGGAAATTGCAAAAATGATTTGTGATAGTCTTCAAAGCATAATTTAAAATGGGATGAAAATTATAAACAAACCACCATATGCCATAATTTTTCCAGCAAGTCTGTTTATGAATTTATAGCCGTCCTGGAATTTCATTAGAACGGCATAATTTCTTGGTAATTTAAAACCCAATAAACCTAATAAATGTAGATGCTATAACATTTATATTAAAATTAATTCCATCATATAACATTATGATACAACTTCTATATTACAAATGTAATTTACATGTAAATGCTACACTGGAATGCTACAATTCTACATAAATATGTGACAATGGTATGAGAAACATTAATATACAGTGGGTACGGAAAGTATTCAGACCCCCTTAAATTCTGTCAATGTGGGGTGCTGTGTGTACATTAATGAGGAAAAAAAATTAACTTAAATGATTTTAGCAAATGGCTGCAATATAACAAAGAGTGAAAAATTTAAGGGGGTCTGAATACTTTCCGTACCCACTGTATATGGCAGTGAATTTTTTCAGAAAAAATATATTATATGTATATATTTATATTTAGCAGGGTAAGTTAAAATCTAAACTACTTGCCTGACCAGACCAACAAAAAATCTTTTTTTTTAAATGTTTTTACACTGATTCAAATTACATTCTGCACAGTGCAAACTTGATAAATCTGCTTGTGTCATTACGAATGCATGACTGGTTACTTGAGCTGCAATTAAGTTATCAATCCACCATAACATGTGGGTGGCATAAATCCCGTTTTCTGGAAGAACCAGAACACATAGGTTGACTAAGCCACAGAAAAACATGACACGCAGAGGGATCTCAAGCGTAAGACCTGAGAAGAATGTTCAACAGTCACTCTTCCTTTAGCATCACAAAACTTAGTTTAATAATTTCTGACAATTCTGGCAGTACTTGACTGTAATAACCAGGAGTTAGCTCCTTTAAACAAATTAGATGAGTCTTGAAAAAGAGGAAAAAAAATAGTTTATATAAAGTTCATGATTGAAACGCAAACTTTATACTGTCAAGGCGAGAGCGGAAGACATCTATTAGGAAACCAAATCAGATAACATTAGTTTATTTTACAATCTTTTATCTCTAATGTCTCTCTGTGCCAGTCTCCAAAAAAATGACAGAGCAACTCAGATTAAACATACAGAATATTAGATGAAGAAATCAAAGATATAAGCATCTGATGAGAACTTCATATCCTTATTTGAACAAATATATAAAAAGGGAACACTTTGATGTCAGATGCTTTCATTTCAGGCCCAGTTATGCCAAGAAATATAACAACTTAAGAGCAATTTGGCATTCATTTTGAAATGCATTGCTTTGAACACTTATCCAACGAATTAGAAAATAATAGTAACAGTCTATTAAGTTGGGTTAACTGAGTGCAAAAAAAAGCAGTGTTTATAGCAGGGGGGTAAATTACATGTCATTGCTGTTTTAGTTATGAACGCATGTGTAAAAAATGTGATCCAGGGTACACGGTACATAATCACAGTCTGAAAACTGTCAAATGAGTGTATTAATATTCCTAAACAGCATGGGGTATGTTTGAAGCCGTACCTTCATTATTTCCTCCAGACGAGAGCTCTTCTTGGATGCAAACAAACTCGGGTGCAGGTAGCTTCCATCTCCATCATCATCATCATCGTCATTGTCAGAATTGTCTGACTTTGATTCTGTTCCAAAAGGGCCAATTGATTGGATTGTTAACTGACTTCAGAAATGTTCAGATTTGTTCATTATTCTTAAAACAATTGATTAATTCAACTTGTTAAATTTACGATATACAGTGGGTACGGAAAGTATTCAGACCCCCTTAAATTTTTCACTCTTTGTTATATTGCAGCCATTTGCTAAAATCATTTAAGTTAATTTTTTTTCCTCATTAATGTACACACAGCACCCCATATTGACAGAAAAACACAGAATTGTTGACATTTTTGCAATGGCTGCAATATAACAAAGAGTGAAAAATTTAAGGGGGTCTGAATACTTTCCGTACTCACTGTATACTACAAAATGACTGACAAAGTGACACAATATATACAACCATTCAAATGTTTGAGGTTTACAAAATTTGTTAATATTTTTCTTTAGTCTTTGCAACTTTACAGATCTTCTTTATGCACTAAGAGCTTGTAACACTCCAAAGAGAAAGGAAAAATTGCAATTTTAAGAGAAGTCTAAGAGAACTACCTTTAAGAGAAGTCTCTTATACTCCCAAAGGCTGCATTTATTTGATAAAAAATGCAGTAAAACCACTAACACTGTGAAATAATATTACAATTTAAAATTACTGTTTTCTATTTTAATATATTTTAAAATGTAATTTTTCCTGTGACGCAAAGTTGAATTTTCAGCATCATTACTCCAGTTTTCAGTGTCACATGATCCTGCTGATATCATTGTAATATGCTGATTTGGTGCTCAAAAACATGTATTATCAGTGTTGAAAACAATTGTGCTGTTTAATATATGTTTGAGGAAAACAAGATACTTTTTTCAGTAATTATTTGAATTTTTTGTAACAATGTGAAAGTGTTTACTTTTACTTTTGATAAATTTGCTAAACAAAAGTATTAATTTCTTTCAAAAAAAAAAAAATCTACAGTACTGTCCCCAAACTTTTGAATGGTAGTGTATTTTGAAGCAAAAATGGACATTTCATTTTTTCTAGCGAACTGAATTATAAAAAGTGGGTGTTCTATAACTAGAAATATTATTATTAAATATTAAAAAGACATTTTACAATAATCAAAGACCGATTGAAGTCAATCCAAAGAACAACATCTTTTCTAGAATTTCTAGAATCTATCTTTTTTTTTCTAGAGCATCTTCTTTTCTAGATTTCCTAGAATAGCGTTTGCCACAAAAATAATGTGCACAGAATTATGGGGAAATAAAGGAGGTAAAAATTTCATGTCAACCTAATAAACTGTAACACATGAAAAACGAACCTTGTTGCTGGTCCTGTTTGCCCTCTGATGCCGGTGTGTACCTGCCCTCCTTCATAGCTCGTAAAATATGTTTGTAGTAAGGGTTCAGGTAGTGGTCGAACCACAGGAAATCAAACTGGGAGTTCCCAGCCTGCTTTGCCTTCAGCACAATTTCAAATTGGGCCCCCTGCTTGCATACAAAGTTGGCGGTGCGCTCAATAATAGCATGCGTCTTGGTGGTCGCAGGCTGAAATAGATGGCAAAGAAATGGGGTAAACAAGACTGAAATACTGATTAAGCTTATAAGAGAATATGCCATTTAAAAAAATAAAGATTAATTAGACAATCTGTATAGGGAAAAATGCGTATAGAACATTTATCATCAATGACTTCGGGCGCAGGACTTGCTACTGCAGTTCACACACAAACAATTTATGAGTGAGTGTGGGCTGGCATTCCATGAATCTAACCAAGGACGTCATTAATTCATTTCCAGCTACACATGCAGATTTAAAATAGTTAGTCACAAGTCTTTCAAGCTGCAGACAAAATCATATTCATGTGCCGAGCTGATTTATGGCGATGCTGTATTTTAAATGACAAATGGCACCAATAGTGCTCCAAATGACACATATCCTTCATTAGAAGGAAGCATGAATATTGCATGAGAAGAACTTTTCGAAGGGCTGCACTTTAGCTCCAATGTCCAGGTAAACAGAGAATCTATTGTATTCAAAGCCCCAGAGAGCCAAATAATGACTTGCTAATTTGAAGATAAACAACCCAACGTTTCTCTTCAAAATCAGATTCTTTGGTTGCTTCAAGCTATGTGCTGTACAATAAGCATGGTAATCAGAGCAGCTGAAGATTAATAATTCAAAAGGCTCCTTCAAAGAACCTCACAGACTTGAAACTAATAGGGGTTTTCAAGTCTGAGAAAATGAAGGTTTCGACTAATCCTCCAACCTTGAGATGGATATCACTCCCTCCACCCAAAAAAGTGCTGGTTGGGGTACGTTGTTGCAAGTGGCTCACTGGACGGTGAAGTATTTATGTTTCTATGTTTCCAGTAGGCCTTGGTGGAAAAGCAATGACATATCCCCGGTTTAAGAGGATAAAGGAGGGGTATCGAGACTCCTGAGCTTTTAGAAAAGTATAATTTGGTGGGATTAACTTGCTTTCAGCTACAGGCACAGTAAAAAAAAAAAAAAAGATCAGTGATTGTGTGCGGCTCCCAAACGTGGGATCCTGCGGCGATAAAAGCCCATGTCTGGTTTGTACAGATTGATGTTTGCATCCCACCGTGTGCATGCTGGTTATACAAAGGAAGATCTTTATAGCTCAATCAAAATCAGAAACTTCTGAATAGAAAAGAACAGAGAATAGAGTCTTTACTTGCCACACAGTCATAAATGGCCACTTGCAGAGTGCAAATCAACAATCTTTCGGTATAGTTATCAGACATCCAACAATAGAAATGCAAATCAAGCACATATTTAATTAAAATAATGGTGATTACAAGTAGGGATGCACAATATATTGGTTCCATATTAATCTGCAAATATTAGAGACTTTCATTTTACTTATTAGAGGTTCACCTAAAAATGAAAACATCTGTCATCATTTATTTATCCTCAAGCTGTTCCAAATCTCTATACATTTCTGTCTTCTGCTGAACACAAAAGATGATATTTTGAAGAATGTTGGAAAATAAAAAAACAAAACAGGTTTGGAACAACTTGAGGGAGGGTAAATGACGACAAAGTTGTCATTTTTTGAGTGAACCACCCCTTTAATTAATCTGCATATTTAATAGTGTGTGCTCATTTACCAGATTTTTAATCGCCATCTAACTCACTTAAAGTTAATATTTAGAAATAGTGTTAAATGTAATCTTTAGCAAATCTCCAAATAAATATCCATTTTCGTGCTGTTCAATATAATGCTGTGAAGCCTAAATTCACTTGTAGCATTTAAAATGAATGATTTAGCTTTAGTTAATCTTTAAAAACAGTTATATATAACCTTCATTAAATCTCCAAATGAATATCCATTTTTATGCTGTATATTACACATTATGTTGTGATGCCTAATGCACTTGCAGCATTTAAAAATGATTGATTTTAGTTTAGTGCATTATTTGAATTTATTTAGACAAAATAGTATTGAATCTTTTAAAGGCTAATCATGAAAATAATTACTGTCTCATGGGTATCGACCAGAATTTTACTACTGGTGCATCCCTAAGTGAAACTGTGTAAAATGGGAAGACTTCATTATCTGCTCACCAGCTCTACATCCGGAGGGATGAGGAGGCCAGGGGGTGCCACAAACGGCTCCTCACTCTCTTCCTCCTGCTGCTCTTGATCTGAGAGAAGGGCAAAGGTGGGAAAAACAGAATGAACAGACAAAATCAGATTGGCAAGGCAAAAGAATCACAAAGAATCAGAGTTTCAGGAGCAGGATGAGAAAAACACACACACTTCAACTATGCATCTATGAAGCTTTCGTTAACTAAGGGCACTTTAAAAGAACCGGAGGCACTTTAAGTTTTATTTTGAGTTACTACAACTTTCTGAGACCACAAGCCCCGTCAGCTCTGTTTACTGCTGATGCCTCTATGCACTCTTCCACCCTCTGCCTCCATAAATTGGCCAAGACAGGTAAAAACCAAATTAAAATTTGATGCTGAATTCAATGTGAAGGGAAATGGGGGCAGAAGGTGGAAACACACTGCTGGTGCATTAATGGAGGAAATAATCAAATCTAGTAGTTACGTAGTGCCACATTAGTTGCTCTAATAAATCAAACAGCTCTTCTAAACCTATCCAACAAATAGTAAGATGTCACATGATCTTTTTTTTTTTTTAATGGTTACATGATGGTTACAATCAAATAATCTCTCTCAACATTTTTGGTCACAATCAAATCATCTCACATGGTCTCACAAAGCTTTGAGTAAATGGCATAAGGTCTGGTCTACACTGCAGATTATTTCGGCCAAGAGCCACCCACTTAGACAGAAATAGACCATCAGAACGACATGTAAATGACTGACCACTGTTTGTTTTGTTTTTCTATGTTTAGATTATACGACAATAATAGACTGGCATTAAAAATGTCATTCAGTTATACAGAAAACACTACAGAACAGGCTGAGAATTTATATTTTGCCCATCCAAAAGTAACAAGCATAGAATATTTCACAGAAATAATTCAGAAATAGGGTTGGGCAATATGGCCAAAAATAATTCTCACAATGCTTTTTCCATTTCATACAATAGCGATATTTATCTTGGTATTCCTTTATGATTAATGGGGATGGAAATGCTTTCCACATTTATTAGAGCTTGAGAATGAAAGTAAACATAACTTGTTCACACAGAATATGATACCTTTTTAATTTAGGGCCTCATGAAATTCAATTTTTTATGGATTCTGTGTTTTATGATTTAATACAAATTTATCATCAAAATGGTTTCTAATGAAATTAATTAATAAAACTTTAACAATTGAATTGATCGTTTAAAATGTACGCATTTGAAAATATAAGAATTTACAACAAAACACTGTTTTTTTGTAAATAAGATGCTGCACAACATAACTTTGTAAATAATACATGAATTAAAAAATATATTTATTGCTGATACTCTTTAAAAATAATAGTATTATTATTACTTCTTTGAGAAGTACACTTTAGTATACAACAACAATATATTTCTCTTATAATTTATTCAAGTTAAACCAAACTTTTACGGTCTGTCTTGAAGATCTTTGAGTTTCAGTGTGTATTTGATGGTAGTTTTTCTCAAATGGAACGATGAAAAGCATGTGAAGCGACTCTCAGAGCAGCTATATGAGGAATATTTTGAGATGGCAGATGCTGAAAACTTAATGATACACTGATACCACTTTTTCCAGAACGAGTACGATACTTTTATTTTTGGTACGTGCCAATACCGATACCTGTATTTTCATTGCATTTGTAATAAAAAAACAAATAATCATATTAGCTGGCTTTATTTACTAAACAGATATTTCCTTCAGTTAATTTCACACTTAATTGTGCCAATTAAAATGTATTGTACAAGCCTTTGTTACTTTCACGGTTTATTTTATTGCTTTGTGGTAGGGCTGGGCGATATATCGAATATTAGCGATATTATCGCAATAATTTTGACAACGATGTAAAATTTGAAAATATCGTGAATATCAAATATTTCAATTTCAAGCATAGTTTCCCAAAAGAATGCGCCGAGTGTCCAAAAAAGGAGACAACATGTTATTGCGGACTCCGGACTGCTCTACACGCCTCTACTACGCGAGCTTTCATGAATGCGGTTGCCAGATATCAATAGTTAAAATCCCCGAATCAGAGCTTCGCTGTTACAAGCATACATTTTTTTCCCAGTGTTTTGCTTATTTTAAGCAATCTGGCAACCATGCGCACGCGCTCGCTCCTCATTGCGAAAGCACCGCTGCCGATGATCTGAAAACACCAACAAACAAGCTGGAGTTTAGCGATCTAAATTAAAGCGTCACTCAGCCGGTCTGTGTTCTGTCATGAGATCTGATTTGCGATTGTGATCGCTGAATAAATGCACTTACACAACCATTGTGTAACTGCATGCACCAAAAAAGTTGACAGAATGCACTTTCTGTACTTGTTTTGCACTACTTCAGTTACATTGAAGTAACAGATTTTTTTTAACTGATTAATTTTGCACTAAACATTTTGTATTTACTTTGTAACAATAACTTATCTAAATTGTTTTTGTTGTTTTTTTAATAGGGGCAAAATAAATTCATGTTTTTTTTTATTATTTAAAAGCAAATGCAAACATATCGATATATATATCGAATCGTAAAAATGTTGATAATATCGAGATATAATTTTTTTTTATATATCGCCCAGCCCTACTTTGTGGTATTTAATTTTTAATTTAATAGCGCATTAGAGCTGCTCCATTGCAGCAGCTCAGTAGTGTAATCACAAGACGTTATCCTGTAATAATGTGGTGAAACACTCGTTATATGTAAATCTTGTAACAGCGAAGAACATATTTTTTTAAATATAAGTCGGCTTTTGATCATCTGAAACCTGCTGCGACTTATATTCCAAAGCAACTCTCGTAATACAATTAAGTTTCTAGTTTCACTTTCGATTTAAACAAAGTTGTGTATGCTTGACGTTTAAAATAAATGTTGTTTATAGTGAATGCCCCTATAATTTGTTTTATATTTATGATTTAGTTTTAATCCAAATTATGCATCTGCTAATAGAGTGAACAGCAATAAAGATCATGCAACAGAAGTGCGTTCGCTCTCCCTCTTGCTTGATTCTCTCCCTCTCCTTACTGTCAAGTAACTTCAGTAACTTCTGCATTGCTTTACTTTTTGACATATCTGACTTATCTACATACTTTCCAGTGATGTCTGTGAGAAAGGGATATTCTCTTGACAAGCTCTCACACGCTTTGCTTATCAACTCGGGCACATCAGCTATTCAGACACGAATACTGAATGTTTAACGTTATATTGATTACATACAAGTACTTCATAGACGTTCTTAATCTCTAATAACTCCATTCTGCTCTCTCTTGTCTGTGTTTCTTTGTCTGGAGCAGTGTTTACATGCAGTGTGGTATCAGCTTTTGGTATTTGGGAGCATTTTAAAGAGTACAAGTACAGGAGCTCAGTATCTGTGTATCCCTACTGAAAACACAGTGAACACCTAATATCTTAAATGGCATTAAACTAGCAAATCAGGTAATTATTGCCTCTTCAAAAGCTCTCAAAAACTCGCACCTAATTTCATAAAATCCCTTAAGTTAAAGGGGTCCTATTATGCTCTTTTACAAAGTCTTGATTTTGTTTTGGGGGTGTACTAGAACAGGCTCTCATACTAGGTTGTTCGAAAAATACATTATTTTTCACATTTTACATTATTACAACACCTCTCTCCCCAGTCTGGCATGAACAGCTCGAATAGTTCCTGTATCAAATGAAGGCCCGCCTTCTGAAATACGAAATGTGCTGTGATTGGTTAGCTGGGCCAGTGTGTGTTGTGATTGGTTAGCTGGGCCAGTGTGTGTTGTGATTGGCA